CTGGCCGTGTTAAAGGTGCTGGGCGTGGCTGTGGGTGTCTAAGGGAGAGTCCCATATAATTAGAGCCCACGAGATGGCCCTGTGAGGGGCATCGCTCGTGACAAGGCCGTCACGTCCCGCCGGAGACACAGGGCACCTCGGCTGCAGCCACTGTCCCTCACCAAGGGACCGGCAGTGGGACCAGCATATGTCGCTGGAGGGGCCCCGAGTTCACCAAGACACACCTTCTTTCTCAACTAATTAAAATCCAGTTTGATTAAATTTAGGGACTTTTTTATTCTCGGGCACCTAGTTCGTCGAAAACAAGTTGCTGTGACCTAAAGTAGAGCATGGACTCGAATGAGACTCCACTCAGCTTCCGGTCAGAGACCAGGAAGGAGCAGGGAGACCGCCTAGGCGCGGTCACGTGCTCGTGTCCCCCGAGAGGTTAGCGCACCCCGTGTTTACACTGAGATGCTTAAAACAGGCAGGCTTCGACGGGGGCGCATTCAGCTGGTGGCTGAGTATCCGAGAAGAGCAGAGTCCATTCTATTCCTGTGCCCTGATTTAGGCTCAGATGAAAAGGAGCTGGGTCATCTGTCAGGGCCGGGCCCTCCGCTCCGGGTGCCTCAGCTGCAGCAGAGGTCTGTCAGGTGGTGCTCGGTCACTGCCTGTGGTCATGCAGTTTGGGCTGAGCGTGGCTGTGGGCCGGGCGAGCTTCCAGTCACTAGAGACACGTCCATGCATCATGCAGACCAGGCCCCTCTTTCTCCTGGGCAGAGACGGATAAACAGGCAAGAAAATACCAGGTAATACAAGTAACGACTAAAATACTGTTTATACAATACAGCAGGACAGAGGAGAAAGTATCAAGCTTCTTTAAGAGTGTGCAGTGTGGGGGGCCTCACGTGACCTGAATGACAGGCAGGAGCCAGCCACGCAGAGATGTAGGCGGGAGGAGTGGCCGGTCCCGTAGGCGGCAGCTAGCTTGGCGTGTTGAAGTCATGGACAGAGGGTGCCTGTCAAGCCCGAGGGGGCAGTCGGATGGTCAGCGGGGCGGTCAGGCCCCACCTCGCAGGACCTCTGAAGTCGGGGCAGGGGGCTTGGACTTGTCCCAAAGGCACCGGGACTCCACTGGAAGGTTTGTTTTGAAAGGATTGCTAGCTGCTGAGCTCAGAACAGACCGTGGGCGACCGTGGTGGGAAGTCAGTCGCCCCCGGTACCCCTTTAAGCCTCCAGGAGCTCTCTGAGTCTGGCCCCTCAGATTCGTGTGCCGCTTTGGGGAAGTGGCGATGTTTTTGTTTAGTTAAACTTTTTATTTTGAAGTCTGGGCACGTGTTTTTAAGGAAGCAGGA